TTGCAAGCACTAGTATACATAAGCATAACCGGATTGATGATGCATTCACGTCATTAGTTTGCATCAATATGCGCTAATGAATTTACCAAAAAGATGATGCATCACCAGTTCCGAGTTGTGGCGCTTCTTGATTATGCATCCGACAGGATAGTAGTTGCATGCACGAAGATTGGCGGACGAGCATTATACTAACATGCATTACCGCAACATTTACATTTGCCTCCCGCCAGCTCCCCTTTCTGATCTCCGGCGAGCGGAGAATTAAACATCGATCGTCTGAATAATTATGCAAAGCTTTGAATCAACAGAATCTGGCATCATTAGACCTTAAACTACTGGCGGTTACGTGCATTCGTACAAATGCACGTAGCATAAGCGGACAAAGATGAACAAGTTAATTAATCAATTAAATGGATTCTTTTGGCGGAATGCTTGGAATATGTCAACTGCTGGTGATAAAGGGAGGGGACCCAATGTAAGAGAAAATTCACAGGGACAGAAGTTAAATGCTGATGCTTTCTGCTGTCAATATTCCTGCGGCATTGCTCAATTTGATAAAGTTCCAAAGCAAAATCATCCACTTTTCTAGTGTATATCATCAGCTGCAATTGATTCTTCCACTTTCCGGTAGACAATGATAGCTTGCTAACTTTATTCTTGTGTATTATGTTTGTTTTCAATTCCTAATTATATTAGTTTAGAAAATTTGAAGAACAGATCGTTGGGGTGTTGCTTCATCAAACTACAAATGCATCATCACAAATGAAATAAGTCGCTAGGCTCATAATGGCTGTGGATTCTCGATGCTAATCATATGCCGCTGGTGCCGGTATGAGAAGACCCTTTAAGTAGCCTCACTTTTTTTTTCTGATTATGAATGAATTGTATTGTGTTTCTGTTAAGTAAAAGTTCATTGAAGCCAACGTTTGTTATTTGCTTCTCTAACATCAGATGATTATGTATTAGGAACCGCCAAAAAAAAAAAAAGAAAGAAAGAAAGAAAGAAAGAAAGGAAGATTGAGCAGAAAGTCGCAACAATCTTGGGTCCTTTTCATCAAAGAAAGGAAAACACAAAATAATTGGTGCCGCCACATTCATTTGTTACAGAGTGTAACAAACACTCACATGTGGCCAAGTTTGCAAAATCGAAACCCGATTTTAATTTTAATTTTACAGGATCGGACAGTAGGAGTGTAAGATCCCACCAAAAACTCCCAAATTAACTAACATTCATGTGTAACGAACACTCACATGTCGCACCCTTTTTTTTTTGTGTGCAAGTTTTGCACTATTTGATGTATCTTTCAACTGAGTTAGTGTAAATCAATATTTGATGTAATTTGCTTACTATTTGATGTATCTTTCCACTAGGTTGGTGTAACTTTTACACTATTTACACCAAAATGGTGTACAAGTTAAACTAATTTGGTGAAAAAAATATACTCCTATTATAGCAAATAGTGCAAGACTTGCACTAACTTAAAAGAGTGTAACACTCTTGAATTATGATACAAAAAGATCAAGAGTGGAATAGGCCTTTGTCATGTGGGCTGTCAAACTGTTTCCAAGATGCCTCCAACTTGACAAGTAGCTATTGAGCAAGCCGTAAAACCATCAGAAGGGAAGAAGCCGAACGAGCAGATTCTTGCATTAGATAAAAGCGAGCAACAGCCTTCTAGACGTCCCGATTCAAGATTCTTGGATATGGACGGCAGAGAGGAACGATCCATATGCATTCCGCACCGAGAATCTCTGGCGGATGAAAACTCGGCAACTTTCTTGAATGCGCACAACCGGTTGCTTTTGGGCTTCGGTATAAGTAATTAGAATCATTTTTTATTTTTGAAACAAGATGACCAGGAAAAAAGCGAAAATCGTTGCCTCTCTTTACTTCTAATTAATGATCTTTTAATTTCTTTCTTGAGAAATTTGCCAAATTGGTCCCTAACATGTAGGGCTGCAAACGAGTCGAGTCGAGTCGAGTTTTGAGCTAATCGAACCGACTCTCGACTAAATTTTATCAAACTCGAGCTCGACGAGCTGGCAATTTTCGAACTCGAGCACGACTCGAATCAAGTCGAGCCAAGCTCGAACTCGAAAAAAATAAAAAAAAAATTATTTTATTTTTTAAAAAAATAAATAATATAATATTTTTTCTGAATAAATAATAAAATATTAAGGATATATACGTAATTTCACTATGAAAATAAAAAATAAAAAATATATATATAATATACGTAATTTTATTATTAAATAAAAATAAAAATAAAAAAACATATATATATATATACTCAAGCTCGGCTCGCGAGCTAACGAACTTAATATTCTAAGCTCGAGCTCTCGACTCGAGCCGCTCGTGAGCGGCTCGATTCGTTTGCACCTCTACTAACATGTACCAAAAACACTTTTTTAGTCCATAACATATAAAATTAGCCAAAATTGTCCTTCACATTTAAATTGTGATCCAATTTGGTCCTAATGCTCGTTTTTGTTCATTTCTCCGGTTAAAAATAGCATGCCCTCTCACGTGGTCATATTTTCAAGGGCAAAAGTAGAAAACAAAAGCTTTACTCAATTGGCTAGTCTGTTACATTGTGTAGTAATTTGTGCACCGAGAGAGACAAAGAGAGAGAGAGAGAGAGATTCATCAGCTAGCGGCAGAATCTTATCATCATCATGTCCCCAATTGTAATCAGCAATACAATTCCTCTTTCAAAGTTAATAAGATTACTGCTATCATCATTATCATTATCGGCAATACCTACCCGGCAATACCTACCCGATTTGAAACCTCCCAATCAATCCGTAATATCCCTCACATATGAAAACCTTTTCAGGATCAAAATAGCAATGGAAAAGGGAGATGGGCAGTGGCGCCAAGCAGAAGCAGCTACCCAAGTGGAAAATCCATTTTGAGAAATCCCCAAAGCAAAAAATCCAACCTCTTCCGGAATTCGTCTGCCCCATCCCAGCTCCCTCATGGTTGACCCCGTTATTGTCTCCTCCGGCCACTCCTTCGAGCGTAACTGCATCGATGCCTGCAAGTCCCTCAACTTCAGGCCCACTCTCCCCGACAGCTCTGTTCCCGATTTCTCCACCCTCATCCCTAACCTCGCCCTCATGTCCGCTGTTCTCAACTGGTGCCATTTTTTTCTCTTTATCCCTCCTCCCAAACCCTTCGATTTCTGCTCCGCTCATAACCTCATTTGTACCTTATTGCTCGCTTCCCGTTCCCAACAGAAGCCTAATCATCAATTATCAAAGTTCTCTTCCCAAGAAACCGAGCTGACTCGGATGCCTAGTCAAGTTTCCGCCAGCTCCAAGGAATCCGTGACGGTCGCCACTGTCATCAACAGGTCCACCACTCCTCTACCTTTAACCACCCGCCCTTGTTGTTGCTGCTCTTCTTCGTCCTCCTCAGATATTGAGTCCTTGTGTCAGTCTAGCTCCCTCGAAGAAGACAAGTCCATGACCAAGCTCTGAAGCTCTCAAGTGTTCGAGCAAGATGAGGCTTTGCTTTCCCTCCCGAAACTAACCCGGACCCAGGAGGAATCCCGGGTGAATCTCTACACTACGTGTCTACTCTCGGCTCTCCGGCCTCTGATCACCTCCAAATATGCTTCTGTTCAGGTGAACTCAGTCACCGTTGTGGTAAACTTGTCCTTAGAGGGTCGAAACAAGATAAAGATAGTGAGGTCAGGGATCGTCCCCAGTGGATCTGGGATTTGTGTTTTCCAATTTTGCCTTTGAAAATATAATCATATGAGAAGGGCGTGCTATTTTTAGCCGAAGAATGGAGCAAAAACGAGCATTAGGATCAAATTGAATCACAATTTAAATGTGAAGGACAATTTTGGCTGATTTTATATGTTAGGGACTAAAAAAATATTTTTGGTAAATGTTAGGGACCAATTTGACAAATTTTCCTTCTTTCTTCCTATTTTGTTCAAATAATAATCTCTCCTGAGTTTTTTCTAGTGAGAGAATTCTCTCTTCTAGAATTTTCTAATGGCGAGAGTTTTGCTCCCTCTCTCTCTTAGAATTTTATTGGGAGATTTTCTTTCTTATTTTTGGGATTTTACTTATTAGATCTGAGATTTCTCATACTTGTTTTGTTAGATCTAGAAATTCTCAAATCTGTTATATCAGATTTAGCTTTTTCTTTGGGCCAAATTTGTTTCACATCAAATTTGGCGACATGCACATGATAGGACTGCAGATGATCAGAAGGCGTTTTGGAGTCTCATAGTGTTATTTTTTACTGTTTAGATTTGTCCTTAATATTCAATTTGACGTATCTTCTGCCATTAATGCAGATTGATGAGAATGAATTATAAAGTACTTTTATCCCAAAAAAAAAAGAAAAAGAAAAAGAAAATAGTGCCAACAATGAAGCTCTTTGGAACTAAGAGTGAGACATTTTGTTTCATGCGTGGCAAGTTGTACGGTGGCCATTGACCAACCCCAACGGAAATCCTATAAGTTCGTCAATGACCAATCACACCCAGCCAACTGGGTGACCCAATTATAGTAGTTGTCAAAGCTGATTCCAATTTTACAATCATCATTAATTATTAACATTAAATTCTAATTTCTAAGATGCACTACTCCAATAACTAACTTTCCCGAAACATTTAATACTAATTTTTTTGTTCCAAATTCTTCAATGGATTTGATTGTACCAAATTCCGAGTATCGAAGAATTTTGAGTCTTCCAAACTCATAGATTCATTATTATTGTTGCAGTATCGAACCAAATGTCATGCAGAGGAATCAATCCTTTCTAAGCCCATAGTGGATGTTCAATCCTCCCCAACTAAACTAAATGGCTAGTTAGTAATTTGATTTAAGTGGATTGGATTAACCTAAATCCATAAATCAAATTACTAGAAACTATTAATTATTCAAATATTCAATTTATCACCCCTAATTACAGGATCATCGTACATAAGCGTATACATCATGATTTGCGTACCAGATACGTGCACTCGCAGGCCTGCAATTTGCAAAGCCCGAGGATTTCGCCCGGTCGGATTCAAATATGGACCATCCCGGAGTGCGAGTGCACCCAACTATGGCGGCGGAAGAAATGAAGAGAGAAAAGAACAATAAAATAAAAGAGAGAGAGAGAGAAAAGACGGTGCAAATTAAATTACACGCACTAAAAAGGCAAGGAAAAGAAAAGAACCGCTAAAAAAAAATGAGCGAGCACTGAGCAGAGAAGAAGACGAGCTAAGCGTCAAAAGAAGATTAGTAGTGGCAGTAGTATCATTTAAGGAAATAACAGTGACCTTTTCTGGTCCGTATGTCTCCTTTTTCCCTCTTTTATCTGATGTCGAGTCCAAAGCACCGACACAGTCTCCGACTTTCGCCAGGTCGCCGACCGATGCCGATTCCTCTTTAGTTGATGGCGTCTTGACTCGTTTCATCCGGTACTCCTGGCCTTCATTTGTTTATTCGTTTTCTAATTCGCTATTTATTCCTATACGCGTCTCATGTTGATTCGAAAATCGGATGGAATGAAATAGAAAGCTGTAGAACTTTGTTAATACTTTTATTGCAATTAAACATGTTTTGGATACCTGATTCTTAGCATACTGGAATGAACATTCTAGGTTTCGGTATTCTTTTCCTTTTTCTTATTATTAAAAGTATTTTTCTGATTTCTTTTTTGTATTTGAAAATTTGCCTAAGTATTGTTGGATGTAGTAATATGTTAGCACAATTCGGAAAGCTAGGGTTTTGTATGCAATTTGTTGAACAGGGGCTTTGTATGCAATACTTAATTAATTCCGTACTGTTGGGTGCATCATCCCGTTGCAGAACCTTCTGCGAAAGCTGTTGGATAACATTTTTTGCCCTCTACTGTTTGGTGATAGATTATTGGATTCATTTTTCAAAGTACAAATCTGTGAAAAAACAACTTGAATGTCTGTCTCATTTTCTATAACAGTAAACCAGTCGGACTAGTTTCTCTGTGTGGCTTTTTGGCTGGTATTTCGCCACTGTTCTCATCAATTTCTTCGGCTATTATGCCTGTTGATTTTTCTTTGAGGTTCACTTATGTTTGTGTTGGCAGGTAAATTTGTAGAGCCAACTTATCCTGGAGGTTAAAAAAATTGGAATTGTTTGCACTGGGCTTTGGGCAGAGGTGAAGGGTTGTAATGGCTGAAGGGGAGGAGCAAGTTGAACTTAAGTTCAGAATCTATGACGGGACAGATATAGGACATGGAACCTATATATCATCAACAGCTATTTCTGTGCTCAAACAAAGGCTTGTTCATCAGTGGCCTCAAGGTTATTACCCATCTCTGTGTGTGTGTGTGTGTGTTTTTTTTTTTTTTTGGGAAGCCATTACCTATATTGTAGATCGTTATCATCAATCGAGTATTCATTCAATGTTTCGAGTTTCAATCTTGTTCTCAAGTTGTATGTGTTCTTTGAATTCTTGACTTGCGATGGTGCTGATAACGCTAGTTATGGTCATGTTCAGGTTCCGGTGGTCTAAAGATGTACTTCTGATATTCCTTTTCTAGTTTATTTTACTTTTTATTTTTATTTTTTTCTTTCTTTCTTTGGTAGTAATTGGGTGATCTCTTATGAACTTGTCTGCAAATTGTAAAAGATAAGTTGTTCTTGAGCTAAAAGTTAAGTTGCTTGTACTTCTCTCAAGTTCTTAACCGGGAGGAAGTCGTGCCCTGTGATTGTCATTAACTTAACGTAATTAATTTACAGATGAAGGCTTGTACAAGATTATCATCTGACCACACGTGATTGTTATATATTCTTATTGTTTTGGTATTTTCGTTGTTAAATATTGAAGGGGTGGATATGAAACAAGGAAGAAACTGGCATGAGAAATTATGATAGTTGGACATATAGACTTGTAGTTTATATCTAATCTCAGAGTATCAAATTCGATCTCTTTTTCCCAGTCTGCATGTGAGAGTCTGAGAGATTTGGTACCTGGAGAGATTACTGTAGTTCCTATCTCATCATTACAGACTTGTTAATGCCGAGGCTCTTTAAATCACTAAATTTTACGAAACATTATTTCCTTATCAATCGGATTGGCTAGAGTTGCTTGATTTAGATTTGCTGAAAGATCATATTTATTGTCGTGAAAATCTTATAATAAAGTCAAATCATGCACCCATGCATCTCGTTATACGGTCTTTTCTATTTAGATTGGTTTTTGTGATCTTATTTGGTAAATACTTGCTATCGATCATGCAATTTGCCTTGGTTCCTTCTATGCATTTGGAACTTGCTCCGCATTGATCTTCTTTTGCATTCTTTTAGAGCACTTAATTATGTTCTATTCGTATCCACCACTTTTAGATAAATCTATCGCACCCAAGTCAGCTGGTGATATCAAACTAATACATGCTGGAAAGATTTTGGACGATGGAAGGACACTTGCTGAGTCAAGAATACCCATTGGTGATGTCTCTGGTGGAGTTATTACAATGCATGTCGTGGTGCAACCCCCTAATAGTGGAAAGAAGACAGGTATTTTGGCTTATGCAACCCCCAGAATCCAACACATCCGTGGCAAGCATTCATTTTGTCTATGATTCTTTTAAAAATTTAACATTTGGATGAGTTTATGGTGTTCTAAAGCAACAGCCTGTTATCTTGTGATTGTTTGATGCTAAATTTTCAAGAAATTGGCCTATTCTTTTCCTTCTATCAGCTTCCTGGTGTGGTTCTAGCGTGCCTGGGCTGTGGAGGGATGTTTGCAGATTACAAAATGAAATTTTTACGGCAACCGAAGAAATTAACCAGGAATGATACATAATTGTAATATGACTGTCCCACCTTTATATCGTTGCCATACGTTGTGCATTTTCTTGTTTGTCAAAGTCAAGGTTGTCTTATTAAGTTTTTATTTCTGGTGTTTTTTTTTTTTTCCTATTTGGCTTTTTAGGAGAGCTGTTGGTTTTTATCTAACATTCTGCTTCCTGGCTTTTGTTTCTCCTCTATGCAGAAAAGAACCCAAGTGAGACACAAAGATGCTTGTGCGCCATCCTTTAAAGTCAAACAGTCTGCTTCGAGGCCGAATGCTGAGAGGAATTCCCTGTACATTTTCACCTTCCTACCTTCTGTAGCGCAACGTAAAATCTCCATAGGATTTCTTTTCAGAAACAGGAGTACAACAGACGAAAACTTATTATTGGCATACATGAATTGGAAATCAACCCTTTTAAGCTTTGCAAGTGTTTTTGTCGTTGTGTTCATTCTTCAGAAAGGGAAATGACCGCTACGCATCACCTGGTATATGATGGGAAAATGTTGGGTACACGAGGTGATACGTGTGTATATGCAACTCCTGGTAAGAAATGGACGACTAGGTAATATAGTACCATTCCTATTCTGTATAGGTCGCTAATATGTATGTAATGCTTTCTTGGACTACGGCGTAAAATGGGAACACAGTCCTAAATTTTTTAAAAGATTAAGTATACAATAATAAGGAGCATATGCATGTTACATTTGTAAAAATAAAAAAATAATTAGAATTTAAATTTACATTGAGACTCATTATCATTCATGATAGGAGTAACACTGCTGGTATAAAAACATTTTTATCATTTCACACTATTGATAATTAATTGAGATTAATTATCATTTTGCTTGCATTATAAAATATGTCTCAACTCACTTTTTAAATATTTTTAATCATTTTTTATTTCATATATATATATATATATATATATATAAATCACATAAAAAAAAGTAACAGTGTTTGGACAGTGAAATTATTCCAAATAATATTTTGCTTGCATTATAAACATATTTTTCAACTCATATTTTTATATTTTCTATCACCTTTTTATTTCGCATATATCACATCACAAAAAATGCTATAATAATTATTTCAAATAATACTTTAGCCAAACAAACCTAACTTATAATAATTATTTTAAATAATATTTCAAATAATAATCTATGTAATTATTTTAAATAATATTCTGTGCAAACACCAACTCTTTATAATATGTTATATGCCCTACCCTGCTTGCAGATGCAGGTGCCAGGTACGCCCTAGAGGCTAGAGGTGCGAAATTTTTCACTCGCATGACTTATTGACTTGGCTTAAGATTAGAGGTGGCAAATTAACCCATTTAACTAAATTTACCCATATCCGCCCATGAATAGATGGGTATGGGTATCTTAAATTTAAATTTATTAAATGGGTATTATTGGGTAACCCATCAAATCCAATGAATCCATTTAGAATTCTCTCCCCCCAAGTCTCTTCTTTTCCCCCACCTTTTTTTTTAAAAAATTTTTCATTTTGTCATGATGTTAATTACTTTTGTTTCATTATTATTATTATTTGTTAGTTTTATCTTATTATTTTATTTTCTCTTAGTTTGTTAACTTGCTTATTTTTTAGCATTACCAATTTATGATAAATTTTAGTCTATTTTCTTATCTTTATAAAATGAAATTTTAAATTTATATATGACAAAAATGTTAGGGGTTCAAAATTTTTGGATTAAGTTTTTATAGTACTTAGTTCAAATTTTTATATTCTTATTATTCAATTATTAAATAATAAGTAATTTTGTGAAATAGAGTATAAATGAAAAAAAAATTGGTAATTAAGTTTATTGAACATTATAAGTAAATATTTAAAACTAATGATGGGTACAAATAGTGGTATAAATTGATAACTTAGTTTGCAAAAATGAATTTAAATGAGTTTACAAAAATTTAAAATAAATGGGTTATAAATGGGTAATTGGGTTATCCAATTCATTTTTTGACTTACCCATTTATACTCATCTAATTAAATGGGTATAAATGAGTTGACTCACTTATACCCATTACCCATTTTACCCAACCCAAACCCGTCCAAGTCACCCATTTTGACACCTCTACTTAAGATGCAGCGTGAAGGAATCACTCATTTTTTGGGCTGAAACTTGCAAGAGCCCTCGGCATAATTGATAGTACTTCAATAAAAAAAAGAGTTTGGTTAGACGAAAGCTCGTTTTAATTGATTTGTTAAGTAAATAAAGTTTGAACAGTAATGAATGATCATTAACCCAGTTTAAATTTTATATTGAGAAGCATGAAAGTGAAATTTGAGGGTTGTGTGTTTGAAATTTTATATTGAGGAGGATAAAAGCTACGTAGGGGGATGATTTTATAAAAATTTTTGCAAGTGACCTGTGATTCTAAAAAGGATGGTTCGGAACGGTGATTAGAGTTGAATTCACCTAAATTTTTATTTAACAAAAAAAATTCGAGGTACTGAATGATTTGGTACTTGGCCATTAATTCAGTAATATTATATATATATATATATATATATATATATATATATATATATATATATCCATCGATCAACACCGTCCAAGCTCACGCCAAGGCGCCGTCTCGTGGGCGTGGGAACTGGAAAGGATCTCTTAATTATTAGTGCAAAAAGGGATAATTTTAGAAACCTCCCCTAAAATTTCTAATAATTTCACTGAATTCTTCTAAAATTAAAAAAATTACACATACTTCATTTGCCATTTAAAATAACAATGCTGCCCTTAAATATTTTAATGAAATTCCCTTATTTTAAATATTTTAATGCTGCCCTTGTTTATACTTAAAATGACTTTAAAATTATTTTTGTCATTATTTTTGCTTCTTATTCTTTTTTATTTTAATTTTTTGCCAATAAAATTGTAAAATTGCTATTATTATCTCTAGTTTTTATTAAAATCAAATATCGAACTAATAATTTTTTTGATGAGTTAACTTTATACATAATTCGATGTTTTTTGCTAATCTTTGTTTTCTATTTTTTGGTATTAAAATTAACAATAAATCAAAAAATAATTGTTCAAAATCATTACTAAATTATGATAATCCCACTACTCAAAAAATTCATAATTTTTGAATCAATTATTTTAACATTTTATTTTCTATTTTATAAATCTAAATTTATAATAAAATATCATCAAAAGTATCCTATTATACTGATAAAATTACTATTATAGTTATTTATCAAATAATAGGTATAGACACGAAAAATTCGATACCTTCTCCTTATAATTATATTAGGTAATTTTATAATTTTATAGAAAAATAAATTAAAACTCATTACACAAGAGTATTTTTGGATATTCATTTAAAAATTTGACCAAGTCAATATTATTTTAATGTTTTATTACTAAAACTACTAAATTAAAGGAGGTACGTCTAATTTTTAAAACCTCATAGTGAAATTATCAGAAATCTCGGGGAGGTTTCTGAAATTATCCCGTGCAAAAACTTAGCAAAGGTGACGTGGTATCGTCATCAATCCACGATTTTTCGGTTACTGGCTAAAATTGAGTTACGCCATAACAATTACCCTACTCGAACCCCTCATTCATCAACAATTAAGATTTCCCAAATCAAATTTACCACTATGAATGGTGAAGAGGACAATATTCCTATTCCCAGCCTTGTCGACCAACCTCAAGAAAACCAAGAAGCTGCCGGTGACGGCGAGAGTACAGATCAGCCCAACAGAGAAGATTATGGAAAGACGCTTTACGGGTGCGTTTCTTTTGTTTTTTCATTTTTCTTTTTGTTCTTCTCGCCATCCTTAACGATAAATTTTGATTCTGCTCGAGATGATGTTGGTTGCGTTTGTGGGTAGATGCGAGCATTATCGTAGACGGTGTAAACTTCGAACGCCATGCTGTAATCAGGTTTTTACTTGCCGTCACTGTCACAACGAGGCCATGGTAATGTAATCTGATACCGTGTGAAACAGATTAATACTTGTAGTAGCTTGTTATTTTACTGGATTCCGTGAGACTTTGGGTTTTTTCTTGATTCTTGATTTCATTAACTTTCGACAGAGCGTTCTGAGCAATCCCCAAGAACGCCACGAGCTTGTTCGGCAAGATGTGAAGCAAGTACTTACTTCCTCTCTCCTTCTGCTAGCTGTTTCCGTCTAACTTGTTTTCCCATCTTTGGGTGTTTAATTCTTGTTTCAAATTATTGCTCCTTGCAGGTCATCTGTGCAGTATGCAATATCGAGCAAGAGGTTTGAGATTATAATTCCTTGAACTCGTCATAAGTGTTTACCATTTTGCTTGAATTTGACTAATCATATCTCTGTGTTATCTCCTGTTACCTAGGTCTCTGGGCTTTGTTCAAACTGTGGTGTTAAATTTGGAGAGTATTTCTGCCACATTTGCAGATTCTATGACGATGATGTAATGCTATTTCAACCTTGTCTTCTAAAAGGAGCATCTATACAATATGCATACTGGCTTCCTACGTGATATGAGTTGTCAAATGGTATCATTTGTCTCTTACTTTTGGTTGCAGACCACAAAGAAGCAGTTTCACTGTCATGATTGTGGGATTTGTAGGTAACTGAGTTGGAGAATCTGACTATTTGTTACAACTGAAGTAGAACATTCCTTGTTACCCAGTTCTGAGAAAAGAAAAAAAAAAAAGAAGAAACTCTTACTTGTAATGTACTTGTAACGTTTTATGCTAATCATGGCCATGCAGAGTTGGTGGACGGGAGAACTACTTCCACTGCCCTAAGTGCGGTATGTAGGCATGCACTCTCATTTCATTTGTAGCACATTTTACACGAAGTTGTGTTTTCGAACATGCTACTTATGGTTCTATTATATCCTTGTAACGGTCTCCCCACAAGATATCATTTCCTTTCTAAGGTGTGGAAAAATAACGTGTGACTTATCCATGCCAGTTCTCTTTCCCTGATTCCTAAGCATCTGTTCTTAACCAGACCCTTTTGGAAAATGTCAAGTTAACAAGTTTTTGCCCTACCTGACTCAGGAAAACATCATGGAACATTTCCACGGGGGAAAAAATACAAAGAGAGTAATCTTAGATTATTTATTTCAAATAACAGAGTATATTGTATTATGTTGATGTAGATGACAAAGATAAGAATGTTTTAGTGCCGCCTCTTTACTTGATTTAAAAAAAAAAGATTGCTGCTGAAAATCAAGGAGAATGCTTTCTGGTTCTGCTATTCTGATAGTATTACAATGCAACATGTAAATATGTTATACAACAGGGATATCAAAAAATAATGAAATTGTTGGATGGATTTGCTATTTCATCTCTAGAATGTTAAGCATAACTCTGATGGAATGTTTTAGTGGTGTTGGAAAAGAGAAAGACTAGCCATAGGATAGCAATTAACTGTTGACATATTGTTTGTGAAGTTCTTGAATTCTTCATTGTTTGGATTACTGTATTTAGGAAACTAAAGCGTGCTTGTGTTGGGAAATGAGAGCAAAACGGTGGCTGATGGGGGACTGATACACTTTGTATTTCATAATACTTGCTATTGCAATTGTCAAAGAGCACCTTTTGTATTTTTTTTTTC